CTGTCTATCTATCTATACTTATATTTGTATTTGTAAATACGATTATGAGTAATTGTATACATAATCATGTTATGTATACAAATATTTTACCTGATTGCTCATTTCCTATATATTTCTCAATTTTAAATTATCATTAAATATTCATGTGGATTGGTGATTATATAATTGTAAAGGTTTTTGCTGATCATTCTATGTGGGGTAATGTTAGCTTGTTTGTAGACGCATGCTCTGCGAACCCCACTTACGTTCGTGTTGTGTGTTCGTAAACATTTTTCTATGTGCGTATATGACCATTTACTCCGTATTCTGATTGGATGAATTGCGAGACGAACTATTACGACCAGTTTGATATGAATTTGTACTCAATTTTTCCTATAATCTTTTTAACGGATTAAAATACATTATATAGAATGAGGAGACACAGGCTTTGGTTGAGTACTAGCTGCCCCTGGAACCCATTTCCATACGGATCGTACTGCTACAAACATGAAAATGCCAATAAAGAATTTATTTCTAATTGCCAATCTTCTTGTTTCTATGGTTCTAACACAATAACAAAGGAGCTTCGATATTACGCTATTGGATATTGTTTCGATGGATGCGCATATCAGAGTGTGCAGATGGTACCTCAGTCATAAAACATCGATCTCATCAAAAAACGTAAAACTCGACTGAAGAATGCATATGTACCTTGTACTCTATAAAGTATGAAGTCATACCTTGAGTATCAGTGCACTCTTTGAAGTTATCAGGTATGCTTTCGGGTCTACTTTTTAAAGGAGCCGCAAATTTCGAGACTGTAGGCCATCTGGACTGTACGTGATTGACTACACTTGGGATCGGACGAACCCCATTTGGAGTACGTAAGGTCAAAATGTGAGCATTAATACACATACACTGGATATGTACCTGAATCATTTAAATATACTCTGGAGCAGACCGTTCACCGGGTTGGAGGAAACCCGTAGTCAAAGCTGCGACTTTTCGTATTAAACTCCATAATCGGTTACTATATTAGATGTCGCACAAATGTAAGATCTGCTAAGAATTAATCAGTCCTCGCTATCATAAAACTTATCAATTACTATTACTTTTCTAAGTGTCTGAATTATGCCGAGTTCCGGTACATTGACCTTCACCCTAGTAAGAACATATCATTAATATACCATATGCTCTGTACGACGGGAATGTCCACGAAACTTAGGTACATTTAGCTGCTAGGTTGCTGATACTCACTCAACAGCTACGGTAGCCAAGAAAACAACGAGATGGATGTATATAAAGCCAGCTATTCTTTAATGGCAAAGTTAACCCAAAAGAATATTGGCACCTCTTCCGAACCATCCCACACGGAGACTACTACTATATAGATATCTGCACCGTATTTTAGTAATTCCTCTACTTCGTCGCTTGTCTACACTTAATATCGAGGTGACCGACGCGTCCACAGGTTCCACAAGTAGAGTCGGCTTGCTCACAGTCAGCCTTCATGTGATCTATAGACCCACACGCATTGCATTCCCTTGGGTTGGGGCAGCTGGCTACAAGATGGTCAGCGGACGAGCAGTTGCGGCACACCTTGGGGCCTTGGTCTCTGTTGTCTCTTTGACGACGCTCGCGGGGAGGGCCTTGTGACGAACCACCGCCGTCAGCGTGACACTTGGCCTTCAAATGACCGACCTGGTGTGTTCGAGGAAAAGATAAGTATAGGTAAGCGCAGAATATAACTGCTGCATATCGCAATCATATGAATAATTGTGAAGACGGGCACCAAACACGGGCACATCGGATCGTGAAAAGATACGGTTAGACAAAAGTACGAATAAAGACGACTAGCGCCACGCACTGCGCGTTCCTCTACGAACATGATAACCAATACAATTTGATAAGGCTGCAATAACACTTTCCCACTCGTAGGCGACAGATCGCGCACAGTCAATCAACTGTAGCAGCACACTACTCACCTTGCCGCAGATGCCACACGTCTTGTCCAGATGAGGGCAGTCGGCCTTCACGTGCTCGAAAGCACCACAGGCATGGCACTCGGGAGGATTTCCACAGGTGGCGCGCAGGTGACCGAACTGTCCGCAGTTGTCACATTTCTTGCCAGCAATGTCGCCACGTGGAGGGCGGGGGGCTCGCTCTCTCTGGCCCTCGTTGTTACTGCCACCTCCTGGAGGAGCGTTCTCTCGGGCAGCCTGGTGACACTTGTTCTTCAAGTGACCTATTTTGCCGCACACCTCGCACATTTCGCCGGTGTGGGGGCAGCCACTCTTGACGTGGTCGTAGCCACCACAGGCGTGACACTGTAACTGATCGGTACACTGTGCTCGCAAGTGATCGTATGAGCCACAGTTGTCGCACGTCTTAGGACGGCCGTAGGATCTTCCACCACTCATATTGTCGCGATATCTAGGGTAACTCCGTTCAACGTAGTAATTTTGCGAATAGGAAGGACGTTCGTAATATACGTAACGGGGTGGAGAGCGGTATGAATAACCTCGTTCTCTACGTTCCCTGCTATGAAGTAAATGGGGATGTGGGATGAAGAGAGCAATTAAAGATATGCCCAATATCGCAACATGCGCAGACGTATGTATGTGATTAGAAGTCGCATATATTTTATGTTTATTGTCATTTCGCAGATTTACTTTGCACTAATAGCTGACAAGGATTTGTACAATCGATCTTCTCAGGCCGAAACGGATTGAACCTCACTGTGCAACTTTCCGGTTGTGCTTTCTGAACTAGATCTTATGGATATCTGAGACAGCGATTGGATACGTGTTCCGAGAACAAAACAACAGTCTTAAAATGATCTAAATATATGCTCACAGTTCAATATATAATAGAAACACAAGTGCAAAAACTTACTACAAGAGACTTCTGCAATATACAAACGAATTAAAGGACCCTTGTTGCATGAACATGATTATAGGTAACAATAACTTCAGTGTAACATTTACTGTCCGTATGCAAAGTTCGCGACAATTTTTTCTATTGAAAATGCATGTACATATGCAATAAATCACGTGGATGTATATATATTTGCGTATATCAAATGAGACACGGAAGAGGTAAACATGTACACACAATGTACAAAAAAACATATACAAAACAACCAATCATAATATGACTAGTTAAAAGCACAACCGCTTGCGAAGACTGATGAAGTACTTCATTACACTAGTCACAACACGAAAGTCAAGGTTTAACGTTTGACAAAAATTAACGCACCTTAATAGAATAATCATTCACTGGTGTTAGATAAGGAACTAATGAATTGACTTGGGCCGTAAACGACCATTATATTTAGGGAAACTTAGGACTAACGACCATTATATTTAGGGAAACTTAGGACTAACGACCATTATATTTAGGGAAACTTGGGACTAACGACCACTATATTTAGAGAAACTTGGAACTAACGGGAAAGGACACATACGAAGGTTTAGGGAAACTTGGGACTAACGGAAAAGAACACATACGAGTGCCTACGTCAAAGTGAACACTATAATGGTTTCAAGCAGCCAGATACATATTCTTCCACTCGAAATTCAGCAATATGATTTAACGACAATACATACCGGTGATAATATCTGTCCCTCGAGTGAGATCTGCTGCGTGATCTATAACGACCTCGGCTTCTACTTCGGCTTCTGCTACCTATGCTACTGCTGTCACGATAGTAGTCTCTACCGTAATCTCTGCCTCTGGGATGGTAGTCGTGTGGGATTCTACTGCTCACGCAAAACAATCGTATATAGAGAAGAAGTGGGAGAAAAGATCAAAGCAAGGTCACGTGTTCAACAAATACGACTTTGACGATATTGACAATTAGTCACAGTCTCGAACTGTAGCGGGGGTTGCGTGCTGTTTCTAAATAAGACGTCTATAATTCTACAGCTAAAGACAATGAAAATCAACTCACAACGGACAACCCAACTAAGTTAAACCAGCAAATCAATGAATCAACAAATCAACAAATCAAAAAAATCAACTGCAATTAAGTGTACCACACAAACTTTATGTCTTCACCATTGGGTACGGACACGCATGAATACTAAGATAATAAATGGAGCAACAGTTCTACGAACAGTGCACATTTGATGCTTGGCTATATAGCAGGTCATACGACGATAGATAGAATGGGGTTATACACCACAGCACCACCAGACCAAACATCATACGTACTCACCCTCTAAGGTCTACTTGTGGTCTTGTATGATAACGATCGTGATCCCACATTTATAGCGCGGGGTTAAGTCAAGTGTGTTCTGGTTCGTTCGAGCGTAGCATTCGAGTTTTCAGCGACAATTTAGAGTATGTAATAAATTGATTTTAAACACGCGACTGCCCGCCCACCAATAGCCCCAGTCAATGACCGGTGGTCGGCAGTCGGCAACTTCGGCAGTCAGCACTCGGCGCTAGCAAATTTTCTAGAAAAAACTCTTCGCAGGAAAACATACGTGAGGGAAGTTAAAAATCAGGTAGGTATTTTATATAAATATTCATATGTACTAAATACTTCAACTTTTAGTCAGCAGCAGAGTACGTTATAGAAAATTTTCAATTTTGGTTGTTTCGTGTTCAACACCGAGTCCTTTTAATATGAAGAGCCAATGAAACCACTCTATTTGGCTGGCGAATATCATTTTTGATGATGTGTAATCCTGTCATTGACTAATTGTGTAAATACTAAATACATTTACAATGACTTGTATGTCGTCACTCGTCAGGCGTCAGTTCGTCACACTGCCCCATTGCACACTCACATTATGGTGCCTTCCAAATGAATAATATATTTTGTCTTCATCTTAGTTTGTCGTATGTGTGATTTCTGGTGTTCAAGCTTGCGAAGCGCAGGTCACCTCTATACACAGGGGCAGGCACACGTTTAACGAGAAACAAAGCCATCAATATATACAATAATAATACTGCGGACCTCACACATCCTGTCAGTTATATATGGAGTGCGACTTCAAATTGGGTACTGTATTCGGTGATCGTCATGTGAATAGAATACTGCAGACCTTTTCCATTTACTCGTATATTTAGGGCGACTTTCAACAGGGCAATTTGTTTGGTGGCCCTTGTTTTGGACTAAGCTTGAATCGCGAATCGATCGATAACAGAAGAAAGGAACTGTAATCTAACCCCAACCCGAAGACACACCTGGAAATACTCCACAAGAGTTTTGTTCCAACGCTGATGCACTGGTAATTTCTGTTATCAATACAGTTTCGATCGTTCCGTTTGGCGCATTGTGGACCCCACAGCAGGTGTAAAGAGTACCAGGGTCGAGTGTTATATTAAAAATGGGAAGTTCCTTGCTAGCACTTTCGGCAGGAGATACAATCTCATTCATCCGTGTATCATTTGGTGCAGTTGGTCTCTTATTGTGTGGATTAACCCGTGGTTGAACTGAATGCGCTTCAGTGTAAGCGATTCCAACACCAGGGAGTTGTAGTTGTACATGCCAAATTGTCACGCCGTGGCCTGTAGACAATACTGCCACGATACTTTCGCATGTAATAAGTCTGTCTGTAGTTTCATATTCGTTGACGTGCTCTTGACCATTTGCTTGTTGATCTGTGTAGATGTCGGTAGATCTACCAAGAGCCTTGGCTGTTCTTAGTATCGAATCTTTCTCGAGATAGGGTTCTCCTCGAGAAGCTTTTCTCTTCGTCGTTGCACAGCTCACTATACTACCGCAGTGCCTTTCACTATACTGCTCCACAGTCGCCCCCCAGCCCTCGCATACGGCAGTTGCACTCTCTGTATTGTAGATGATGTCAAATGCTGTAAGCGTCGAGTTCTCCAAATCAGTCACTTCTGTATGACTAGGGGCGGCGGTTTTTTCAATTTCAGATCGGAGATTTACATAATCCGTTATGTCTTGAATGCGTACGTTTCCTTGCACGTCGATGCCAATCAGCAGTGCGTATAGTGTCGTTCGTAAAATTCTAACGGCAGAGACCTTCGCCGCGAACACTACTGCCACACCCAGTTTAGAAGTCGCTTTCGTCTGTGTATCCTTACACGAATGCGCGCCAGCACCAGTACACGATGGTACACCGTGGTGTTCTCTTGGAAGAACATACACGGTGCGGTGGATCGTGATAGTAATATATGATTCGTCCATACTCGCCGTCTCCTTGGGTGTGCTACCACTTGTTTTGGGGAAAATAAAAGGTAAATCATACAGTTCAAAGCTTCGGAGTTCATGAGCCGCGCTATTGGACAGGCGGGTGTGCGCATTAGTCAGTAAATTACACGCCTGTATTGTCTTCCGGGATAATCTCTCATTTCCTGTCGCTTGCATTCTGCTGTACTCTCTTTCGAGGCTGTCGTTAAGGTAACACGCGCAAATACATGCGACCTCACAGTGAAGTATGCCGTGATTATCGACATAGATGGTGCCATATTTCGAATCGTGTAAGATGAAGATCATCTTTGGGCGAGTGATACTTGCTAATATCGCTGTGCTCATTTCTACACTTTGCATTACGTTTGTTTCAAAATTGCTTGTCGGGCCCACCCTGAAGGGTACTGTTTCCCAATCGCTGGGTTGGCATTTCACTGTTTCAGCGGAATTAGAACACACACTATCGGGGAGGCACAACAAATGACCGCCACGAGTGAGACAGTAGATAACATTGTGGCTGGAATATATGTTGTGATGGGTGGTCCGTTTGGAGATCACACCGCACATCTCAACTCCTGCACACAATCCTTTCACAGCAAGATCCCACGTTGATCGTCGGAATCTGCAAGTATCGGTCCGTATCCTATATTCCAGTATCCCCACAAACTCCAGTGTTGCCTGGGATACACTGCAATATGAAGAATAAAGTAGATGAGTATAGATACAAACGACTCTATTGAGATGGCACTACTTAGCTGAGGTCTTTGTATCGAAATAAATGTCCTCAGCCCTCACAGGCTAGTTGAACATACCAGATACTATAATCACCAATATCACCTCTCCAGACTAGTAAACCCCCTGGCATGTTGTTGTTCGTCGTAGCCGCTATTGGCCCAATGCGCACCTGATCGCTCTGCATCGCTACCACTTTTGATCCCGGAGGCTTACCGTTCTCATTGTCAAGCCTGCAAATATGTATTGCACAGTCGGGCAAAGTATCGTCTGCGGTTTTACATAAAAGCTACTGGCTCATCGTGCAAACAAACAGGAATTCAAATCTGGATCACTTTGAATTAAAAAGCGTACATATCGCTGATTAATTAGATTCGCATTGCCGTCAGTTATGTTATCCACCCACCTTGATATCCGAAGCCAGTTTCTGCTATCACAAGCGCTGAATATATCAACAGCGCCCCCCCAATAGCATATGGCCAGAAATTCTCCACACGGAGAAAAGCTTAGCGATGTCATTCTTGGACAGTCCACCCACTCAAACCACAAAGACCTTGCTCGTCGTACATTATTGTTCGTACACCATATACCCAGGTGTCCATCATACGCACCAACAGCCAATTGTTTTCCACTGTTGGAGTGGGATACATGCGCAACGGCAAGAGACTCGTGAAGTAATTGGGGATCAGGTGTTTGAGTATGTGCGTGGTGTGGTATTTGCGACACTATGGTACTCGCGATGCCGGAAGTTTCCACTATAACATATGAAGCTAATGGAGCCAGTAAGCTACCGCCGGCCGGCTGGGCTTCTTCTTGAGTATGGCTTCGTATATCCTTGAGATCGTCGAAGGACTCCGGTTGCTGTAAGGCTACAGTATGCAACTCCACTCCGTCTGGCCCGGCTACGGCTATAGAATACCAGACTACAGTGGACCCATCTTGGTTTCCACTAGAAGCATAAGGAGATGAGTTTTTGGTACCCAGTTCCCCTTTGTATGTGAATGATGGAGGTATCTTTGCGGCTCCATCCCTGGAATCTGCGTCCTGTGACGCACAACTAATACTGCAGCCGACATCACAGATCGCAACGGACACATCCTTTGGAATATAGTATAGCGGTATACTGAGCATTAGTACAAACGCATCGTCTGCATCAGACTCTGCCCTACTAGGTTTGAGCCTATTCCCGACTTTTTCGTCGATGCTCGGCCTTTGTGATTTTATACCTGAGTCTACAGCCGCGAATTTATCTTCAGCTGCTTGCGTGGTCGTGTCTGCACATTTGGTCTCAGCCATCCGCACAGCCACTTCGTGCTTCGTATCGGTTACCTTGTCTGCATCTGCCAAAATAGTACTCTCTCGTTGGAAAGCCACCTCAGACAATTGTTCTCTATATCCTACTTTGGCTAAATGCTGTCGTAGGCATACGAAGATTTGAACCTGCCTTGAACAAGCTACCACTAGGACGCTACCATCTGGGGCCCAACTTGCCGCGTGCGGGTTTTGCGTGTTTGATATGGCGTAATTCTGATTAACCACACACGCTCGAGCGCCACCGAGGCAATCCTGTGAATTGCAATTGGGTTGTACCGCCACTACTGAAGCGTGGTTGGACTCCACAATGATGAGTACATCTCCTGCAAGAAATTTGGGAAAGGGTGGGTGCAATTAGACCAAATGAATGCGATTCACGATCGCCATCTGTTGGCATAGAACCAAATAACAATCGAAAGTACATCAATAGTGCATAGCATCGAGACATCAAAAAGATATTTTGATAAAGCGCATTTAAAGTATGCGCAGTGCTGTGTGATACATGCGAATCTGAAGTTAATGGGTCACAAAGGGTCCCGGTGCATTGTAGGTTCCAGCAACGAAATTGATAAATTAAACCTATCAAACAATGATCGACCAACTAAACAAATAGCCGCCCTTGAACATCTAGCCTAGATCCCAATATACATATTTCCAAACTCACGCGTACACACATATACAAATGTACACTTCGCAGTGTAAAAAAACGAGCACCCGATATCCGATTCACCAACAGCGTAGTACGCCTAGTGATGATAAAATAAAAATAAAAATATATGTACGTGCGTATATACTTGAAGAAGCCACGAGACACGCTTGGATACATGTATGTACGCAAAGGATACAGACATACTGGTACACATAACCATACAGCTACACACACATCAACAAGCACACAAGATCATAAACATACAAAACCACACACACAATAT